TGAAATACATGTTTATAACCCTAAGATCCTGGTTCCTTTCGATATTATCGCATATAGGATCATTCATTACTTCCTGTATTATGACCATTGATTGTACGAAAAATCGCATTTCAGCTTGTGGTTCCTCTAGAGGTCACAATTTTGATCCCAATTGTGATGAAACGTGAAATACATGTTTATAACTCAAAGATCCTTGCGATATTCGCACATATCGGATCATAACTTCCTGAATTATGGGCCTTGATTGTACGAAATATCGTCTTTTTATCTTGTGGTCCATCTAGACATCACAATTATTATCCAATTTAAAACACCGTTCGAATATATCACCGATATTGATTGAGTTCGAATTTCGTGAAAATCGAACCAAAACTGCCGGACAAAGTGTAAAAACATGGTATATCTAGGTTCTGGCCACAATTTTTATTCTATTTGATGAAACTTGAAATGTAAGTTTATAACCCAAAGATCTTGGTTCTTGTCGATATTTGCGCATATCGGACCCTAACTTCGTTGATTATGGCCCCTGATTGTACACAAAATCATATTTTTAGCTTATGCACTCTCTAGAAGTCACTATGTTTATCAGATTTTGATGAAACTTAAAATATATCTTTATATCCCAAATATCTCAGTCCATTTCAATATTTGCGCATTTCAGATCATAACTACCTGGATTATGGCCCCTGATTGTTCTCTATCCATCTCTTGCAAAATGTGAGCGTATCCTGTCTGGCAGCCGCTGATTAACTATCAAATCAAAGATGGGATTAAAGGAAGCAAGGTTAAACTTCCTACTTTTCTGCACCAACCTAGAAATCAATCTCGACCTAAACAAAAAATTCCCATGATCAAGGTTCTAATGTTGTTTCATCGGAATGATTATACGTTGTCCCTCGCCGGGCCCTTTGTCCTGCACTACTGACAAGGGTGAACCATGCCGAACAATTTCGATGAACTTAATGTCTTATTAATGGATAAATTAATGTCTAATTAATAATTTAGATACCTTTTCAGTACGTATGAAACTTACGCGCCAAAAAGTAGAGGAATGATGTATTTACCTTGTCTCAAAATTTCAGCTCAAAATATTGAGTCCTTGGGACGTAAACGTCAAAAATGCTTATCCGGACACGTAACCCTTTTGAAATTTCGGGTCAATTTTTTCGTTGGTTGACCTGATAATCGATCCCCGTTCCTTTAGAGGTCTATACAGTGAATGACCCATGTGCTGTACTTGATAACGAAAGGTAAATTTCACCTACACATTTTTTTTTATAAAATGAAAATCTGGTTTTATCCAGACGCAGCATAATACAGCTTGGGACAACGGTCTCCATTTCCAAATGAAGACTGACGGGTTTAAGTTGTTTGAAAACGTATCACAAATATTGAGTAAGTTGCTCGTTACTTACTTTGCATAACCATACATATTGAAGCCTAAGTAAATTTTTGGATTATCTTCTGCCAACTTCTGACAAGGACAGTTGTCAAGTCATTCGGATGAGACGAAAAACCGAGGTCCCGTGTACACATTGGCGTGCACGTAAAAGATTCCTTGACAGTTGGAATTCGATATAAGAGTAGGCCGTAGTGCCGCTGTCCGGGCAAAATTTCTCTCATAGCACACGGTATGGGGTATGTCCGTCTTCATTAGCCCAGTTCGGAGCAAAACAGTAGGACGTTAAACCCCATTTCATTTCATTTCATTTACTTTTCCGCCGTTTAATTGTAGAGTATATTGTATTGGCAGAAAATAAGCAGTCGGGCTGACAGTTAATGATACACTGACATCTTTGCCCATAGTGCTTGCCCCGTGGGTGTTTTTCAGGGAATCCAGTATTTTTCGAGTAAGATCGAGCGTCTGTACTTTCGATATCTACCATACTTTTATTGGAAATAACTACCCTATAAACAATTTCTTGGGAATGTATCTTTAAGATATACTTTTACAATGAACGGCAACGTGATTTAAAGTGACAATACCACCCTCACCGATAAACATGTAATAAGATTAATTTTGAAGTTTTAACAAGATGTTTAGTTTCGTAGCAACGGCCCATGTTAATTGAGAGTTGATCTCGATTCACCATATACGTCCTAATTCCATGCAAATAGTACAATGCATCACTATTTGTAAGTGCAGGAGGACCAGCCTGCACGCAAAAAAAAAAAAAAAAAAAAAAAAAAAAATAATTCGATAAAACAAACCTGCGGACATGACACAAACTTCATATATCACATCAAGAGATTGATTGGATCTGATGGCCAGGGACCTGTTTCTCGAAATCTTAACTAAAGATAAAATCCAAATTTTAGTAGATACTTCAATTTTGATTGGCTAAGAACTAAAATCAATCAAATATTATCCAATCAAATTACTAAAATTTGGATTTTATTTTAGTTAAAATTTCGTGAAACAGGACCCCAGGCTAACACTGGCATTTAATGTTAAAGGTGTTATCCAATCTCAAACTGTATGAAATTTAAGACAACAAAGATAATACCTGCAACATCGCAATACCACACCCCAATACTGAAAGTGAATTGGAATTCGAACCCCTGACATACCACACCAAACGGCAGCCCAGCGTTTTACCGACTGAGCTGTATCGCCATCCATAAAGAGGATGGCTTCAAGCGTTAATGGATTTACCTGTGCCATAGCTTGTTGTGTGACGTATGGGAAATTTTCTTTCTATAAATACTTATACTTGTTCGTATATGACGTATACATGCTGGTAACATTTATCTCTGAAAACATGCACAATCAATTGGGTCATAATATCACCCCTCTAAATTGAAAACAGAACGTGTTTATCTCTTTAATAACGCTATGGTTTGAGGGTTTGTTGTTTTTGTTTTTTAAAACAATATTTTTATTTATTAAATCTGAATTTGGATTGGGGAACAGGCTATGCCTATATGTAACCACTATCTCTGGTTTAGATACATGTACACATTATAAATATATACATACATACATACAAAGATAAATATAGTAACATCACACTACACTATTCAAGAGAAGTATATGGGCCAATACATACAGGACTATAGATCATCTTCTCCGCTCAACTAGGCTGTCACAATTATTCATATTCTTTTGTAACCTACTATTAAAAAATATAAACACTTACTTACTTACGTCACATAAATGTTGTGGAAAACATGCGACACCGACTCCCAAGATTCTAAAAACTGTTTAGCCTAGTTGACTCGTTGACCAGGAAGTTAGAAGATGTCAGGGGACAGGTATTGAGTGAGGTAATATGTTGAGTGTCGCCGCGTTATTGACATCACATATAGGACATAGCTCACCAAATATTCCTACGCCGTCACAAAAGGGCCCCCAGCTCGTACGCCTATGGGTGTAACACAAAGGTGGTAATAAACAGGTTAATACACAAATCGTCTCACATAATTGTATTCTAAGAACCACACAAAGAGTTATCTTCCCTCAACCTCGATTTCGTAATCATAAGGCCATACCACTTTAATAGGCCAACACATAATAAAATGTATGTGAATACATAACACGAAAGTTATTTTTTGTCTTTCTCTCCCTTTCCCTTTACCCCCTTTTTGTTGGTGTGGAATCGAAGAAAAGGGTTTGAAAGTACATTTTCTGCCAGGTTTTGGTGAATATTCATGATTTTGAGGAGGAAGGATACGAGAGTTGAGGGGTTGGTTAGATTGATATGTAGGGCGGAAATTGCCTCTTTAGTGGTCTTTACTTCAAGTTTATGTATCTCAAGTTTTCCATGGTAAACCTCATACGTACTTTTGAGCAAGGGGTTGCCACATGTTGCTCCATCTGTGGTGAGACGTGCTCGGATACTCTCTGTAATACACCAATCAATTTAAAACGTTAAACTTATACATTTCGCAATTTTAACCAACTCCCCAATGTTACAATAACAAATTTAACTAAACATTCCATATTCATATCCCTATTCTTATCAAAAATGGAACCAATATTACCAGCAGAAGGCGTTGAAACCATTTTATTATTAGTAGTAACAATAGCTGAAGTTTGGCTGTATCATCGTTCTCTTTAAGAATATTCATAATTTGATTTCATAAATACATTGTTCATGATCAAATTTAGAAATTGCACATGAATCGAGTTTTTCGGTCGAAAATTAAATGTACAATTGTTTGACATCAGCATAAAGCGCGAAAATATGCTTTGGAACAATGTCTTCAACGGGTGCTTTACATAAGGACAATAAGATAGGACCAAGAACTGAGCCTTGTGGTACGCTACACACATTAAGATGACTACTGATTATTTACAATAACACTCTATTTTCTATTAGTTATATACTTTTCTTAAAGTTTCAATGCTGAATAGATTTTCCGGCGTGGTTCCCCTTGTCAGCGGTGCAGGGCGTAGGGTCTGACATGGCGTATAGTTGTTCGCATGCGACAAAAACCCGAGCTTCTGTATAGGCATTCGAGTACATTGGCGTATCCCTTGGCAGTTGGAATTCGATTTAAGAGTAGGTCGTAGTGCAGCTGTTCGGGCAAAATGTCCCGGGTAGCACACTGTATGGCGTATACCCGTCTGCTTAGCCCAGTAGGAGCGGAACAGTAAGGCGTTAAACACCATTTCAATTCATTTTAATGCTGAATACCAAAACGAATGCGGTCTTATAAATGTGGCGTAGTACCCGAGTAGTCTGTCGCCTGCGCTTTAGATCATATGGTCTGTAATTGAGTTATATGGCGTCGTTTCGATTCCCAGCTTGTACGTAGCAATAAGGGGTAGGGTCACCTGTCCAAGTTCCCCTGTCTCCTGTCAATGCTAAAAAAAAACCTTCGCACAAGCGAATTAATAATAAATACAAGTGTATCATATAATTGTCTCGAAATGACCTAGTTTGCGTGGAATGGGCGTTTGACCCTAATTCTCCCCTCCCCTTTTAAAGTAATAAAGTGGGTGGGGTATGTTGTACAAGACGTTTACTATTTCTATTGACCTGATATTCGGGACTAATATCCCTGTTTAATCGAGACTACATCTATAATCTGGTTACATCAGTCCAGCTGATTTCTTCACATGAATAAAGTAAGTTGCTGCACGTATCTTGTACAATCTGACTTGTACCTAATAATCCTGTATTTATATATTTATAAATATCCATGTCATTGTACTGTAAATACACAAACCAGATATTTAGGGCAGAGTGATTATAATATCGAGGTCATAGACTAGTGTGTATGAATGACTATGTAGACTCACATATCTAGACACTAACGGTTGATCTCCTTACTCGCTAACACTCTAGTTAATATGGAAGCGCATAGGGACCAAAAGCACGATACATACCGCGATATTAATAAGATAATATGTCAACATATTGTGATGACTGGACCCCTGAAAAGACAATGTTTGTCGTGTTAATTAAATCAACGCGCTATTTTATATGCCGACATATCGTTTTATATGTGCACCTTAATATTATTTCTATTTTGACGCCTTTTTAACATATTCCATTTCGCTGTAGTACCTACATGTCGACATATCAATATGCGCTATGTCGACATATACTATAGCGAAATGGAATATGTATATAAAACACATTTAAAACACAGCGCTTTGATTCGGTTAACTCGACAAAATGGTATTTACAGGACTAAAACCACTGCAACAATCGCAATATGTTGACATATTATTATATTAAAATGATATCGAGGTATCTATTCCACCTTGGCCCTTATATGTTTCCATGAGTTAAAAAAATAATAATTCACTTCGTGGTCGTTATGCTGCCCATCCGTTATTCCGGATGAAGAATGAAGTATCTTATTTAGCTTATGCATAAATCTGACGGTGCTTATACATTGTTCGACAGTGATGTCTGTAGTCTCTCATTTTCAATAGAAGGCTTGTATTGATCTCGCCTTAAGTACGTACATCTTATCAAGCTGGATGTTGTAAAACTCGCGGTCGTTGCTTCAGGAACATGGTAGTCTCTGTTCACCTCTATAAGATCTGATTTCTTCACCCTTCCTGGTGGTGGGTGGGGACTCTATTGGCTAACGGGTGCGCTTTAGATCATAAGGTCTGTTATTGAGTCAAGTGTGTCCGCTAGTCCAATTTCACGAGGTTTTGCCAGGTCCTTTGGTTTTCTTTCACATTTAAAGACCCATAAGTTAAATCATGTGTTAGTCGCGAAATGACCTAGGTTGTGTCGAGTGGGCAGCAGCAGAGAGAGAGAGAGAGAGAGAGAGAGAGAGAGAGGGGGGGGGGGGGTGGTGAGGTGTAACGTCGAGTTATAATAGTGTATTGTCATGATGAGTGCTATTATCAAGATTATTCTATAGCTGATGATAAATTTAATCATCACAATAACAAACATATTATCATGATAAAATGTATAATCATAATATAGTTATTTATAGTAACCTTTCCATTATCAGTAGATTAAAATATTTAATATCGTTGTAACCTTAGTAAACGAATAGCCATCCGAGATAGAACATTTAATATCGTTGTAACCTTTGAGATAAGCCGGTGGAATGTATGATTATTACGTAAGGACTAAAACTTATTTTATCAGAAAGTAGAACACAAGAGGGTGCTGGCTGGGGAAACATTGTCAATCTTAACTTATAACATTGATTCAAGTTGCATGGTGTCTAGCCCACACCTGTACGTGGCGAGGAGTAGGGTTCAGTTTTCTCCCACTGCTAGGCGCAAGCGAATTGCTGAAATAAAATTGGACCATATGTTAGTCCCGAACTGGTCTAGTTTGTATCGAGTAGACGTTAAACCCCATTTATTTTTCTGTCTTTTAAGGTGAAGTATTACCAGATCAGGTAGTAACCTGGGGAAGTCGAAACAAAATGCCACCCAAATACAGGTACTATTTCTTTAAAAACTACCGATCCCGTGGAGAGCTTTCTCGATTGTTGTTTGTCGCTGCTGGGGTTGATTATGAAGATATTCGAGTGGAAAGATACGAACCCGAGTCAGAGTGGAAAGACCTTAAACCAAGTAAGTTGTGAAGATTGGTATGTTGTGAAAGATATGAACCCGAGTCAGAGTGGAAAGACCTTAAACCAAGTAAGTTGTGAAGGTTGGTATGATGTGGTACGTGTTGAAGGGTTCGAACCCGGGTCAGGATGGAAGAAGCTTAACGCAAGTAATATTCCTGTATCACTGCAGGAAGACCTGTCTGAGTTTCTATTTAAGTGAGGCTTGTATCATCGACGCCCTAGGGCTGCCAGCGGGTTGGTTTGTTTTAGCTATGGGTGTCCCAGCACCACCGAAGCGCTGGGACCGTCCACGAGTGTATTTATCCACTGGGGTTCTATTTAAGCCAAGCCTTTATCAACAAAGGAATGGGACTGTCCGCGGGTTGGTTTATCCTCTAATGTTCTATTCAAGAGAAGCCTGTATCACCGAAGGTCTGGGTTTATTGCAGTGGCAATTCTTGTTGACTGCCGCACGACTTAGCTGCTGTATGTTTCGTTGATTTCTGTATTACAGCAATGCCTGGTGGAACTCTGCCTGTTCTAGAAGTTGATGGTCAGTTGTTTGGAGAGAGTGTTGTAATAGCCAGATATTTAGCTCGTGAATTTGGTAAGTATTAGAATGTTTCACGATGACTGGACATATGGGTTTAGTTTGGGGAGATGGGGTTTACATCTAGGCCCGTTCCTCAATACCATTTAGACATCCTGACTAAAATTATTGTTTTAAAAAGAAAGAGATGACTTCATAGACACGTCTTCAACTGGACTGATTTGCGTTATCCAAATGAAATAAAGAAACCAATAATACTGTTCTCGTTAACAGGTTTGGCTTCATTAGCCCAGTCGGTGCAGAAAACTTGGACGTTAAACCGTTTCATTTAATTTCATTATCTATATATAATATGATATATTATTATGTATCGTATAGTTTAGGTCTGGATGTTAGAAACAACTATTGTATATTATGTATCGTACATTTAGGTCTGGATGTTAGAAACAACTATTGTATATTATGTATAGTACATTTAGGTCTGGATGTTAGAAACAACTATTGTATATTATGTATAGTACATTTTAGGTCTGGGTGTTAGAAACAACTATTGTATATTATGTATATTACATTTTAGGTCTGGATGGTAAAAACAACTATGATAAATTATTAACAGATACAATTGTAGACCGGATTATCCAGATACGAGAATTGTTCATCAGGTTAATGCTTGAGAAGGACGTAGAAATCAGAGTAAGTGAAAATGACCAACTCAAGGGATGGTCTGAAAAGGGGTTAACGAGTATGGTAGGCCTGTGAGCCCATAAAGAAATTAAACTTCTCACATAGTTTTGGAGCCCTTTTTAGTTTGGCGGCCCTTTTTAGTTTGGCGCCCCTGTTCAGTCTTGAATACACGTCATTTTTGACGGATTAGTCAGAATGTCATGCGCTCCATCTGTGCATAAACTAGAACCATCAGGCCAATAGAAAACATTATTTACAGTCAGTTTTAAATATTTCTCTTGTCTGTCTCTCGCCAGGGGGAAAAGACACACCCCGGACCTCCCTGTCCAACCTCCCTGTCCAACTTCCTCCACAATACTTGTCATTTAAATGTTACAAACAATATTGGGGGGTTGGATGGCTGAATGGTTAGCGTGCGCGCACTGTATCATAAAGTCTGTCATTGAGTCGACTGGCGTGGTTTCGAATCCCCGGTTGTACGTGGCAAGGAGTAGGGTCGCCTGTCCAACCTCGTGGGTTTTCTCCGGGTCCTCCGGTTTCCTCCCACTGCTAAAGACCCCTACGCGCACGCGAATTATGTAAATAAAATGAAACCATATGTTAGTCCCGAAATGACCTAGTTTGTGTCGAGTGGACGTTAAACCCCATTTCTCTCTCTCTCTCTCACAAACAATATTTTGGTATGATGAATAATAATATGAAATAGTTAATATAGTTACTCCTGGTTACACTAAACAACGCCTTACTCACTGAGCGTTCCCATGACTACAAAGTTTTAAATGTTTCTGAAAGAGTGGTATACTGTGTCTCGCTCGTGACACCCACGAGAGTCAGTGAAATAGAAAGCCCACATCTCGCAAAGACTTTCAATTTGCTCTTTCAATTTTGCAGGCAGTAACAGAGAAGAAATTTCTCGAGGAACAGCTTCCAGCTGCTTTGAATTTAATTGAGAAACATGCCCAGGAAAATAAATGTACCGGAGATTTTCTTGTTGGTGATAAGGTGAGTTACTTCCCTTGTTTATGAAAAGGTGAATTGCCTCCCTTGATTTGAAGGTGAGAAAGGGTGTCTCATTATCTAGGGCGACCTTCGGATGTAGACTATGGTTACGACTACAGTCATTTCTGGACTAACATATGCTTCAATTTTATATTTCAATAGGTGTTTTTAGCAGCGGGGGAAACCGGAGGACCCGGAGAAAACCCATGAGGTTGGACAGGCGACTCTACTCCTTGTCACGTACAAACGAGGAATCGAAACCACGGCAATGATACAACATGCACATGCTAACCATTCGCCACCCTCCCATATCTGAGCCAGAAATCTCAAGTGGTCAATAGTCATTACACAGAGTTTGAACTGCATCAAGTGGTCCGTGTATCTGAAAAGATGGAGTCAGACTAAAATGCCACTCGAATTAAAAATAATTATTGTGATTATCAAAATATATCGATGGGAGTTATCTCGTAATTACCAGATCATCGGATTGTTTTTCATTTGATTGACCCTGATGGTCTTCCGTAGCCATTGGCCGCGTTCTGTGTGTTCGTCATAAGTTAATAAATGTATGAATATGTATATTATTTTTCAGCTGTCCTGGGCAGATCTTGCCGTGTTTGACATGATGGATCATATTGTGGCGGTTAAACCAAATGCTTTAGGTAATCATCCAAAAATAGCAGCCATCTTTAAATTAGTACCGTCATTACCTGGACTTTCTGAATATCTGAAAAATCGTCCAATGACGTCAGCTTAGAGTGGTAATCAGTCAATACAAGCACAAATCTGTACTTAAATATACTAGTTGTTGAATGTGTATATCCACACTGATCCGCAATGAATTTTCGCTAGGCCGCTACAATCACTGAATAGGATGACATGGATGCGACTTAATGAGTCCCAAATATTAACTTTTTTCTTCCGTCAAATTAAATTCTAAAACATTTTTTTCATTGATTAGAAAAATAAATAAAGACGTTTGAATAGTTTGTAGGTAAAAATTATTTCCTATTTAGTGTAAATGGATTTTAAAATAAGTAAAATTCACCATTTAGCCCGAATCAGTAACGTCTTATGTAAACATGCTGCTCTCGGTTTCGCTGAGAAAGCTCCTCGGGGATCTTCCGGTACGGCCTCACATGTCAGGGGTGAAGGAAGTGATAAAGCTTGTTATCGTATCCTATATGTATTACATAAATATATCAATTTTGTAAATTTAAATGAACAAAATATTGTTTAAATAAAAAAAAAATTAAAAAAAATTCTTCCCTTTTGTTTTTTGTGCCTTTAAAACTTGCTAAATCCCTTGGAAGTGTCTCAAACATGCTGATTGCACTACGATTACATAAACTAACAAGGTAGTTATAGCTACCAACTGGTCCCCGTGTGTCGAGTCATCTGGGAACAAGGTAGTTATAGCTACCAACTGGTCCCCGTGTGTCGAGTCACCTGGGAACAAATGAACCCAGCCGATGGGAAATACAGAGGTGGGAGTAAATTGGATATATTATAGTAATCACGGAATATCCATGATAATTTTCTAATTTTAAGGAATCATATTTGCTACAGTTGTTCCAAACGACGCCATCATGGCCAAATAAGGGCAAATTCTTCAAAGTTCATGTTGGATTTTTTTTTTAAAACAAGAAAAGTGCTTTGTTATATTAAGGGCTAGCAGGAACGACTTTTCTATTGGAAAATGAGCCTGTGAAGCACGCCCCTATATTTCAATTTAATTTCATGCTCATGTCGTAAGAGTTTGTAGTTTTATTGTTCTAAATTAAGAAATATCTAAAGTGATCATATTCCGCTATTTTACTTTCTCTCGTATCTTAGGTTACCAGTAACTACATTATTTTCCCTATTGTATTTCGTCTCATCTTCGTTTACGTTTTATATTCTATTAAGGAAATATCATATTTATTATGTTTTAAACATGTCAGGAAAGATCTAACTTGACTATGAAAATTATGACTGCTCGTTCATTAAGTAAATGGAACATCAAAAGCCATATCAGATTATCCATTAGAACTAAAGAAATATTGCTTGGTTGATTACGATGGCAAGATTTATTCCATCCTTTATTTTAATAACTAAAGGCATATTACCAATATGTTATTTATTGAAGTTCTATCTTAATATCATTATAATGTTTCCGTTCAGAATCAAAGGTTTGGGTATCTTAATAAGAAATGAACTGTTCTTTGAAAAACAAAAAGTAGTTCCTTTCCAACTGACCAATCAAATTCATGTAAAGCGATATCGCAGTAGATTATGAAATATAAAACACAAGCGATATAGACTGTAGAATGTATTATTGGGTGATAAAGACTTTTATAGCAACATTAATACATAATTCATTATACATTACAACGGTTAACTTATATATGTTTATAAAGACTTTTATAGCATCAATACTACATAACTCATTATACAGTACAACAGTTGTCTTATATATGTTTATATATTTTTCAAATTTTCACTGTGTCTTAAATATTGGATATCACGGTAAGATCGAAACATGACAATGTTAATTTAAACTGACCAATAAGTCGTGTATGCAACTTAATCAATACATCAATAGCCACTGGAGCCTGTATTCGTGGATTGATACGGTGGTATATTGGTATATCAAGTATATGATAGACGAGGCATGCCTATTTCTATAGGTGGCAGAAATTCGGACCTAATAATAACTACCTGATGTTAACAAGCTAACGGTATATAGAACGGGAGCCCTGGGTCAACCCAGCTGAACCGTGTACCAATTTTCTAGTATATGGTATCAATGTATGGATATCTGGTATCATCAGAATGTAAGTCTGCTTGATTTCTGGTGGTAGGTGTGGTATTCCACGACCAAAATGGCTTGCCCCCCAACTAGGCTAGATTAGCTCAAAAGTGTACCACATGAAAATCGTACAGCAGTGTTCCGTACATCTCCAGGTATTACAAAAACACCCTGGTGGGGTACCCCTGACAGAGCCATGTAATTGCCAGACATTTGTAGTGGCTCGTGGTCTAATATATATATATATATATATATATATATATATATATATATGAAAAGTTAAAGATAACAACTCTTAGGTATTAAGGTATTATCTTCAGATAATCAACATTTTGGTAATACCAAAATGTTGATTATCTGAAGAGCTTAATAAAATAAGCGAAAGTGCTAGTAATCGACAAATAATGTAGTTTTTTTTTCAAAAACTTATATATATATATATATATATTAGACCACGAGCCACTATAAGTAAAATTCGTCAAGTATTAGAGAAAAAACACTAAAATTTTGGCTAGTACTTTCATCGTTATCAAACGAATCGTCAGGCCATTTTAATGTGTTACTATGCTGTTACAATAACGTTACGTCATAACAGAGGACAATGACTATGTGAAATATAAAAATTAAAACGAAATAACATTAATTAAATATCAAACATAATTAAAATAATCACCCTTTAGCATTCAAAATTGGGTTATATTTAGCGATAAAGTTGCTTTCTTTTGTTTCCAAGAGATCATTATCACTAATATTGAGTTTGTACAAAGGAAATATCTTGAATTGGCCTTTACCACAAATATCCAAATGTTCGCTCTATTTCTTTCGAGTTTTATATTAAAACGATGTTGATTAATTCGTAAATTCAACTGATCAGTAGTTTTTCCAATGTACTTGCCATTACAACCATTACATATTAATAAGTAAATTATATACTTCGATTTGCAATTCATATTTTGTTTAACATAGAATTTAACATCTTTAGTAATTTGGACCAAATAAAATACAACGATTCTAATAATATAACACTTGTGACAACATTTAATCCTTCTCAAGAAAGAGAGTTGTCCATTGTAAAGGGGTGGTTGGATATTTTAAAGAACAATAGTCGTAAATTAAAATACATCCTAAATAATTCAAAAATTATAAATAGTTTTGATTCTGACATTTCGGTACCCCGTGTATCCAAGTGTGGGGACCTACGATGTATGACATGTTCCGATATATTAGAAGGAACATTTGTCCAAATTACTAACAAACTCAATATTAGTGATAATGATCTCTTGGAAACAAAAGAAAGCAACTTTATCGATAAATTTAACCCAATTTTGTGTTAGATCGTTTTATATATTTTATATGTATCGGATGAAAACAATACACACTCTAAATTTATCAAAATTGAATTCTATATTTTAATGGAAAATATGATATTGTAGCTTCTTAATTGATATAAAGACTATTTACTTCTCGTCAATACTGGCTCAGTGAGTATAAGACACTGATTCGCTAACATTTCATTTCTACTTCTTATCATAAAAATATATTGTGTCAGTGGTTGCCATCTTCACCGATTTCATTACTTATTAATAATGTTTTCGCTACGTATAAAACTTGGTTATATTGAATATAAAAAGACGCGACGGGGTTCAAGAACCCAACAGGCTATAATTAAAAAAATAAATCCGGTGGCCAGAAAAAAACAAATACACTATTTAAAGTCAAATCTATCAGAAAATGTTGTACCTATATCATCCACATAACATGTGGTACAATATGGATGTTTAACAACTGCACTCCGAATTGCAGGTACATCGCTCGAATAATGTTAACATCAATCCAAAAATAAAGGAAACCGGAAATGTTTGATAAAGCTCGAATTCTACGAGGTTTCCAAACAGAGTATAGAGGGTGGATGTGTTTATGTGCGGTCCCATTCAATAACCCCCCCCCCCTTCCGAAAAAGTGCCCTCCCTTCCGAAAAAGGACCTTCGATTCTGAAAAAGTGCCCTCGAATTTCTGACAAAATGCCCTCGAACTCCAAAAGAGATACTTAAAATACTCATGGAAATACCAGCGTCAATTCCTTCACAATATTGCCATTATCCTAAAGACAGTACTGCAGCACCCTTGCCTGCGGCCATTGCCTTGTTCTAACTAGATCCAGCAACACCAATAAAAACATCGCGCTCATTCTGCGTACACACACACCATCGATCATAGCTCGCTGTTGGTTGGTTTTCATCATCAGTGGGAATGGGAACCAGTCAACGCTGCTGGTGATCGACTCATTGATACTGGTATTACTCTAATTTCGGTTTCGATTTTTTTGGAAAAAGTTCGCAGCTTGCAACCATTAAAGGACAATATTGGTGTCAGTCATTATCACATATGTGATAGAACTAATTAAACACGTTCCAAATATAATTTTAACACAGAGATCATTGCTAATAATTCCTTCCAAGACCAAACGTTGTTGTGTGAGACTGTGAGAGGAGATACCTGACAATTCATAAAAAGAATTGACTGCCACTAGATAAGAGAACACGAAAGAAAAACAGAAAAAGTCCGTGCATTACCATGTTTTTATAAGGTATAGAATGAATATAAACAAGGGAATGTACGGACTATTTCTATTTTCTCGTGTTCTCTTATCTAATGACATTCAATTACTTTATTGAATTGTCAGGTATCCTCTTACAGTCCTTATAACAACTTTTGGTCTTGGAAGGAATTATTAGTGAGCAGAAATTCGGCCGTGTATCTGTTATCACTCGTCACATCAGTCAGTTATATAGAGGTATGACTCGTGTTTTCCTTTGGCGTTCGCCACTTCCGATTTAGGAAACCTGTATTACTCAGCTATCGTAGCAATGATCCCTGTGTTAAAATTATATTTGGAATGTGTTTAACCAGCTCTATCACATATGTGATAATGACTGGCACCAATATTGTCCTTTAATGGTCACAATTCCGCATTTAGCTCGGCATTAAACAGTCGGCTCTCGGACCAGCTGGTTTCACTGGGCCCCAATCGACAAAACACAACTAGCTTGATTCACTAATCCACAACCTTATACTCAGACATCATTTGTTTAAAAGGATTTGGGCCAATATATTTAGCGACACGAAATCAACTTGTGGTTCATGGTTCGTTATTAGAAAGATTCCGCAATCCAGTACGAACTACGAACACGACTTCGTGCTTCGCTTTTGACAGATTTCCGTTTCTGCCAAAATGCGAAGTCCGACATACAATGATCTCATCATCAACTGTCGGAAAAAAAAAATTCACAGTTTTCTCCATAATTGTAAATGTTGAAGCTGTCTATAAAACCGCAAAAATACGAATTTCATCCACAACTCAGCAAGAAAAAAAAACCATTTCGTTCTTTGTAACCACGAAATGACGACGTCGGCAGAAAAAATCACCTCGTAGTTCGTACTGCCTGTTGATTCCTCACTA